CTCTTTAAGCAAGGTATTATTTTGGACTAATCATTAGTAAAGATTGCTATACTTCAGTCTCTGGCTAATGTCCATTCTGTAATCATTAAGAATAGTCTACATATACCCCAAAAGAAAATGCTTCTTCCTGTTAACACTGGAATTCATTTCTTTTTTCTTCCTTCTATCATAATCATGTATTTCCATAGGTGTTGAGATTATTGTTACTTTTCCAAAAGATGCCCCTGACACCCAAGAAATAAGCCAAGAAGATTTAAAGGAAAACAAGTAAGGAATATTTTTTGAAGTGATAGATTGTAATTTAAGGATGATATGACACTTGCATGGCAATCTGTATTTTTAGTAAATCAGCCCCGCTGTAAAGCAGGAGTGGGAGCAGGTGAAAAATATTTTAGAATTTGTGGGCCATATGGTCTCTGTTGCAGTAATTCAACCCTGCAATTTGTAGCTTGGACTACAGTAGCCATAGACAACATGTAAGCAATGGGTGTGACTATGACCAAATAAAATCACAAAAACATACTAAAGGGCCATGGTTTGCTGACCCTGCAGCAGTACTAGTTAAAGTGTGTTTCTATGGTCCTGGTAGTAGTCTATGATGAAGGCAGAATCTAACTTGAAATTTTAAACATATAAAAAGTTGAATAGTAAGTTGACAGAGTAATTTTATGTTCATTGATTTGATATTGAGAAATTGGGTCTTATTTTTACATTTTAAAATTTTCTTTCATGTTTATAGTAATTTACTTTCATCTACAATGGACTAGAAAAATTTAAATAACTGGTGCTTCACCAAAAATAGTTTGAGAAGAACTGGGCTGATGAATGCATTTAGAGAAGTAAAAGGGTATGCCCTGTGTTTGCCCTTTGCTCCTCTGACTTCTTGGCTCAAGGAAAAGGGGACCTGGGGAAAACTAAAGTAGGGAGTGTAGAAGGCAGGTGAGATGGGGAGAGAGGTGGAGTGTGGAGAGGCCTTACCTTTCAGGAATACACCCATTCTTCTGAATAGCACATCTGTCAGGCTGAACTGAAAGCTGGAGGTATAAAAGACATGGGGAGTGAGTTTTAAATTGAAACATTTGCTTTTTTAGTCAGACAATGTCAGTACATCAAGAGTGGGCACAAGCACACTCTGTTTCTGCTCCAAATGATATTGAGATGGTGGACTTCAGGACAAAGACGTTGACCACAGGCTCTTTACTTCAGAAGAGAGAGGAAAGTTCCAAGGAACTCTGTGATATGAACTTGGGCTTTTTGCTGCCAAGACCTTGCTTAGAACCAAACATCTCCAAATCTGTTGCCAGAGAAGGTGTTCCTCATTTTCTGAAAGAGCAGCAAAGAAAATCTGAAGGTGAGTCAAAACCTTATTTAAACAGATTCCTTTATTCTTTCAGTCAACAAATGATTATTTATAGTGCCAGGCATTGTTTTAAAAGCTGGAGTTAGAGCAGTAAACAAGACAGACTATAATCTTTCTGTTGTGGGATTTACATCTCATGAGGTTGAGGTCAGGGAAGGACAGACAATATACTAACAAACAAGTAAAATATACAATGCTTTAGACAGCGATATATACTATAGAGAAAAATAAATGTGAAAAAAGAAATGCAGCTGTTTTGTATTTTAAATAGGGTGAGTGTCAGATAGCAATATCAAGAAAGTTAGTTGAGAAAATATCAGAAGAGGGAGCGAGTCATGTATATAAGGGGGAAAAAAATCCAGGGGAATATTCCAGAAGGCAAGTGCAGTTGGATCAAGGAAAGTTGGAGCAAAGGAGATTTAAACTGTAATGGGGGTGAGAACTAATTATATAGGGTCATGTGATACATTAGAAAGATTATAAGTGAAATGGGGAGACTTTGGAGATTAATCTGACCCTCCAAGTTTAAGCACCCAAACTCATGGGTGTATGAATATGTATACTATGTAGATATGTATATTGTATATAGAGAAACTAAACAAAGGGTCAAACAGAGACAAGCATAAAAGCCAACCATAAAAGCTGACCAGATTTGAAGCATGAAGCAGGAAGAAGGGGAAGAGCACAATGGACTGTGGTGGGTGACTGTGGGTGCTTTGCTGGTTGGGGAGCTACGGTGACCACACCAGAAGGGAGAAGTTCTATAGTGTCAAAATGTTAACAAATATGTAAATTAGTGATCCTTCATTAAATAAATAAACACCCAGTAGGGCTCCCCAGGCCAATTCCCTTCTTTTTTATTTAAGTGAAATATAAAAAATTTAACAATCAATATATGTTGGTTAGAAACATTTAGAAAAGATACATGAACAAAATTAAAAGATAATAGGTACAAGTAGTATTTTAAGATAATTTTTTTTCTAGAATGCACCTCCATACTTCTAAGTAACATGTTAATTGTAGTTCTTGACTGTTCCAGTTAGTTCTTGTCTGCAAACATTTTAACATTACTCTCCTCACACAAAGGCAATTCCCAGTCTTCTTGATCTTGTGTTTTTTTAAAAAAATCAATGTTCAGTGCTTCCATTATTGTGACTGGGTAAAATATTTACAGCTGAGCCCCAATGTATGCTATGGTTACATTCCTTTTCTTTGGAGATGTTATAGCTGTCCTGGTGTTAACAACTGTCTCTCTTAATCATTAGCTTATTTTCTGTGTATTTGTTAATAGTTTGCTCCCACCCTGTAAAACACACCAGGCAATCACCCACTGGTTCATTTTGGTTTTTAAAAGACTGCTCCTGAAGTCTCTGGCTGCCTATTTCACTGTGTGTTGCTTGCTCTTTGCACCTGATGATCAGTCATCTTCTAGGACTCTCTCACTATCATCTAGGAAGTTCCCTTGATCTGTCTGTTGTGCTGGACTCTTGAATACTGGGTACATGGTTTCTTCTTTCTTGGTTTACTTGTTTTAGTGGGGTGCTTTTTCCAATAGCTTTCTGAGTGGAGTGTATTAATGGTAGCTTTTCACTCTATTTCCTTGTGCCCTTCTCTTTCTTTCAGTTTGAGTCTCTGCATTTTCATGTTAGAGACTTTTCTCACCACGTGAACCTTGGTTTATCTATTTGTATTGAAGAGGCGGCACTAGGAAGTGCTGGGTGCTCAAAAGGGGTTTGTTGAATGTCAGAGACCTAGACAGTTGGTTGAGAGCGTGTGTGCAGTGTCATTGTGCTGAGAGAGGCTTTCTGTTCAACTGTTCTTCCCTAAAGAGGGATAAGTCAAGTTTCTGCCTGTAGGTTATGAGATTGGGATTTCACATGTCAGTGTGCCAGATATCATTAGTCATCTTCACTCCAGCTCCCTATTTCTTCTCTCAATTGTACATAACTCCTTAGCATCTTTTTTTTAAGCTCTCCAAAGAATGAACTTCCAGTCATCTACGAGGAAAGAAGAGTAACTCCTGATTAGTGGGCAGGTCAGAGAGTCTGGAACTATCTCCTTACACAAACATATAAACAACCCATTGTTTCAGCCTTGCCTGCAACTTTTCCTTCAAAGGCAGCAGGCACCTTCAATTCCTGCTTCTTTCTGGGACTCTTGTTTCTATTCAGTTACCCCTGCAGGCATGGAGCAGAATAAAAAAAGGTGAAAGAAAACTAAATCATTTATTATTCTTTCATACAGTTTTGATTCTCAAAAATTTTGTTAATGTTGCTTATATATTGTGTTATCCCTTGGGTATTTATTCTTGTCATTGTTTTTATTTATATTTTTAAATTTTAGATTTAGTGAGGTTTGTGGAGAGAATAGGAAAAATACATACATTTAAAATTATAACTGTAATTCTATACACTTAAGAAGGCTTTCCATTTCTAGATTGCCTACCAGAAAGATCTTATCTCTGCATTTCTACCAAAAATGTTTAAGAATGCCTTTCTACCCTTGGATCATTCCTGACACTCTGGATAATATCTATTCAAACATTCTCTGAGCAGGAGTCTCCATGTTCAGACAGAATATAAATATAAATATAGACATAGTCATAAATGTAAGTTATTAACAATGTTGATATATACAAATGTTTTACCATACAACGATATATACACAAATAGTATACACACACACAAATCACATGATACTTAATGGTGGGTATATGTTTCAAGAAATACATCACTAGGCTGTTTCCTCATTGTGTAGACCTCAGAGTGTAATTGCACAAACCTAGAGAGGACACCTACAAACCTGGGCTGCATTTAGGGATCACTGTCATATACATAGTCTGTCTTTACCAAAATGTCACTACATGACTTATGACTATATATCAGATGTATGTTAAAAACAAAATTATATGTGGAACAACAATCTTCTTTAGTGGCAGTAGCCTAAAATTTTGTGCAATTATTCTATAACCACCTCCATGTACATTACATTTAGAAAAACTCTTAATTTTGACAACTTTTCTTCAAACCTTAGTACCAGCATCTCTTCATTCCCACACCCTTGCATAAGACTCACTGTGTTCACTCTACTAGAACACTGCCTAATTATTATTATTATTTTTTGTTATTATAGAATTTTCTACCAATGCTTTGAAGTATAATAGCCAAAGAATTGAGGTAAGATTAGTTTTATTAGATTTATTTTTTATTTGAGAATTAAAACCAAAGAAATTTGTTGTCAGAGATTAACTATCAAAGGATTCAGAATCAAAACCCTCAAAATATAAACAACTTACTATAGTTTATAGAATAACAATTTCTTTATGTATCTAAAAATTAGGTGATTCTTTTTGGCATTGATAAATGATTTTTGCCTCCTCTAATTTATAGGTTTATGCAAGTCTTTCAGCTATAGGAATCTTCTGAATCCTCTGAATCTTTGAGAAAGTACATAGATACCACTTAGTATGGTAACAGTTTATTGACTGTTACTAGGAAGATATTTAAACCCTGGAAAAATTTGTCTTTAGTTAAGTTGTTTTTGAGAGGTGAAAGAAAATCCTCTGTGCAGTAACCCTGGGGGAGGCAGGGGAGAGGGTTGTATCTCACATACTTCTAACACTCTAAGTTTCTAGTTTCAACTTCCTTTTCTTTTCCTTGCTTAAACACAAGTGGCAGTATAATGAAATTAATTCTCAATTGTAAATATAAATATTCTCATACAATTAGATATCTAATCTGTATACAATGAAAAGAAACATAGTTTATAATTTAACAGCTATAAAGCTGAATATTATATTAGGTTATACTGACCTCTGGAGGTTGATAATAAAAATTAGCTAAGTTCAAAAATAGTTGGAGTGCGAAGGAGAATTAAAAACCATTTGAGGTTGGTAACTTTTAAGTGTAAAGTGTTAAACTTTCATAAAGTCTCCCTTTACAAAACAATTCATCAAAAGCAATGGGGAGTAAGGCTTCAGATAGTTTTGGTCTTTGTTAAAGTAAATAGGAGCAGCAATTTTAAACTTTTTTTAAAAAGATTTATTTATTTATGCATACAAGAAGTGGGATACAGGCCAGAGGTGTGGGGGTGAGAGGATTCACCAGAGACAGAGTTGGGAACAGAACAGGCGGATTGACTGAAATACACTACTGAGAGGAGCAGCGGGCAAGGCAGAAGAGGTCTGTTGCACCATGTGAGTTAGCTGCCTGGCTGGGTATAAGACTTGTGTTGCAGTGGCTGTGGATAGCATCATAATGCTGAGATTTAACCCCTTGCATCACCAAGGAGGTCCAATTTTAAACTCTTGAAAGAGGGAATTTAAAAACTCTTAAATCAATCCCATGTAAAGTAAAAAGAAAACATGAGAAATAAAATTTTAAATTGTTATATATCATAGTACCTTTATTTTAATATGTATAAAACACTGCTCTGTATATCCATGATAATCTTTTGTTTGAAGTATTATTTTATCTTGGTTCAAAAATAAAACACTGGGGCCCTCCCTGGTGGTGCAACAAGTTAAAGCACAGCACTATGAAGCTATTGCAGCCACTGCTTGAGCCCCAGCCAGGGGTGACCCACATGGTGTGGCAGAACTCTCCTGATCTGCCTGCTGCTCCCTTCAGCAGTGTATTTCAGTCAATCTGCCTATTCTGCTCCCCCATCTGCCTCAGGTGAATCCTCTCTCTCTCTGTCTCTCTGTCTCTCTCTGTCTCTCTGTCTCTCTTTCTCTCTCTCTCTCTCTCACACACACACACACACACACACACACACCGCACTTCTGGCCTTTCCCCCCATTCTGTATTGTATAAACAAATCTTTAAAAAGAATAAAACACTGGGAATGAGATTTTATTTTTAGAAATTGTGATCTCCAGGATAGCTTTGCTCTTTAAAGACCTTCCTAAAATAATCCTAGAATCCCTTGGGATTACTTTAAACCAGTTAATATGTGTTAATATGATATGTATATATATATTCTGCATTCATTAGCTTTTTCTGTCTTTCAGTGTCCTCTGCCACAGTTGTCACTCTTGCCCATGAGATCTGGTCTCCTTACTATCCCTCAGAATCACAAGGATCAAAAAGAGAGAGAAAGAACTATTCCAAGCCTCATATCCTTCATACCTAAACTCTCAGAGCCTATGAGTCGATCTAATGAATTCAGAACATCAAACAAACAGCAGGAAAACCCCTTGAAAGTGTTTGTGGGTCAAACTCTCCGGTCCTCTGATAGCTTCATTTGGTCCAGAAACTTGTGCTCTTTTTGGAAGGCTAACCATCACAAACAACACCTGCAGATGGAGGATAATTGGAAATCCACAGAAACTGAAAGATATGAGAAAATTGAAATGTCTCACTCTGACAAAGGACAGTCTCTGTTGTCCTTTGAGAACTTTCAGGAAGGTGCTTTTCCTACAGACAGGGAAATGGGTATTGACTGTAATGATAGTGAAGTGAAAACAGCAGAAGAGAACTCTCCTTGTCACTTACTGGAGAAAAAAGAGGATTACAACAACCATAAACAAGATTCAGATGTTTTATATACTGAGCCAATCAAATTCCAAGAAGTTCAGCATTTAGAAGTAACTCCAGGCCAGGAGGAAGAGACTGAAAATGATAATGCTTATTCAAAAGACACTTCAGCAAATAAAGGTGAAACAGTTGAGTGTACTGCACTTAAAAGTTTATCCAGTGTAACCCCTGGTAGTCCCATTGAGAAACTCACAGGAGGTCATAGTGGAATGGAGACAAACATAAAAATATCAGTAGCAAAAGCAGCCAAACCAGTGAATGGGTTGGTACCTCTTACCCACATCACTTTCCCTGTACATGGGACTCCTAAGGAACCAGCTATAGTCAAACCAAGCCTCCAAAAAAGAAAGGGTTCCCTTCATAACAACAATAGCTGTAACATACTTGCACCTCAAGAAAACGATAGGCATAAAATGAAACCCCATAGAAATAAGGTAGATTCAAAGAACAAGACCAGTAACAGGACACCTCAAAATTTCATGATTTCTGCTGAAGTTTCCATTAAGCCTACCATGCATAAAACTAGCATAAAAACTCAAGTTTTCCCAGCTTTAGGACTTGACACCAGGCCTCAGCAGTCACCCAAGTTTCAAAGGAGAACACCACAGATAGAAAAGAAGCAATCAACTTACCGGGCTCTAAAACCTAAAAAGCAATCATTTCCTTGCATCTGCAAAAATCCAGGAATAAAAAAATCTTCTGTTCCTCTTTCTGTTCAACCTACAGAACCAAGACTAAATTACCGAGATCTTAAATACAGTGATATGTTCAAAGAAATTAATTCAACTGCCAATGGACCTGGAATCTATGAAATGTTTGGGACTCCTGTCTATTGTCATGTGCGAGAGGCTGAGCGGCATGAAAATAAATATTATCGAGAGAGATGCTTGGCTCCACCTGGCAGGTGTAGCACCAATAAATGTCGATCTTCACACAGTGAGAGAAACAGCAACAGCAGAACAAGGCTTTCTCAGAAAAGACCACATATTAAACCCCCAAAGACTTCCCTTGGCATTAAAAAAAAGCACAAAAGTTTAATTTCTGAAGAGAAGGACTGCAATAGTATAGGTAGCAACCTACAAGATATTGAAAATGGTGATGGTATATCAGAACCAAAGTGGCAGATGAAATCTTCAGAAAATGACTTTCTGTCTTCCCAGGGTGAAGTTCAGCCCATGAATTTGACTCAGACTTATGAGCAGTCCAGTGAACAGAATGAATTCATTCCTGATTTGTCAGTTGTTGAAGAAGTCTCTATGGAAGAGTCCCTTGATGAAGGAGACATTTCTAACAATCAAATACTTACTGCAAGTCTTAGAGAGCTGCATGAACTTGAAGAGCTACATCACCAGACCCCGTTTGTTTTTTCTGAAAACAGCTGGGCAGTGCCCAGTGAGAAGAGTTCCAATAATCATGTACTGCTAGAAAAGCAGAATACAGCATCTCTTGGTAAAATAAATGCCAACCAAATATTAACTACTGATCTAGAGTTTGATAGTATTTCAGATAAGTCTAAAATTCCTTTGAGTTCCTCTTTCCAAGAAAAACAAGAAAGTGCATTTTCCCAAACATATCAACACTGGGCACATTCTTGGGATCATGGTAGTTTAGCTAGTAAATCAATTATGTATCAAAAGTTTGGAAAAACTTTAAATGACACAAATCCAATTTCACAAGAAATTCTAGACTCTGTGAAGAATGAAGAATTGACAGATGAACTACTAGGTTGCTTAGCTGCAGAACTATTAGCACTTGATGAGAAAGATAACAATTCTTTCCAAACAGTGGCAAGTGAAACAGATCCTGAAAACCTGAATCTTGTCCTCAGTAGAAGAGGAAACATGAGGCAAGGAATGGGCATAGAAACAACAAATGTCAAAATACAGGTTGGTATAATTAGTCGAAGATCATTGGATAGAAAGGGACAATCTGGTAGAAGGAAATGAACACCGCTCCTGAATTAGCTCATCATTTAATTCCAAAAAACATATGCAGACACGTAGTGACCATATCTCAAAGATTTCCCGACTGAAGCATTTGTTCTAAGATGGGTTAGTACTTTAATGCACAATTATTTTTGGTGACTACTGTGTTTCTGTCACTGGGCTAAGAACTAGGAACATACTGCCAAAGAAGCATAAACAAAAACTCTTAAATGTTTAAATTTTTGTTTGATATGGATTGGGGGTAGGGGAGAAGAATATCCACAGTTGGATTTTGTTTGTTTCAATTCTCACTGACGTATGTGAGCCTCTTGAGTAATCAAATTTTAGAGACACTATATTTAGCTGAAATATTTTTAATTTAACACTAACTTGGGTATTCTCAGATTATATCAAATCAGGAGTAATTATTTTAAGTAGTTGGTCTGAAGAATATACAAGGTAAAATTTACACAAAGCTGGGTTTATTGATAACTTACCATGTATAAGCTCAATGCATTACTTTGTCTATAAAGGATGATTTATAAAACTCTACAAGATAAGTAGTAAAAGTAATATTAAGCCCCATTTTGCAGATGAGGAAATGAGGTTTAGCACATCCCAGTGAGAAGCAGAGCCAGACATTCTCATCCAGCCCCATACTCTTAATCACTACACAGAGGGATCACTCCTTGACTTAAAAGGCTAATTCTATCTTCATAGTGAACTTGATATCTGCTGGGAGATGGACAGTGATTCTGAGTAGCCTCCAGGCTGGAGTGGTAGGTGGGAACATGTGTGTGCTTGGCTGTGTGTTTGACTTGGGTCTACCACTCTGCCATTTCAAACTGAAAAAAAGCTGCAAGTAAGATTAGTTATAAGAAAAACTAGTATGTATAATCAGTCTGTAATCCTACTCTGCAGTGATGGAGTGAAGAACTGATTTTTTGTTTCCCAAGTAGTCTTTACATTTCAATTTTGATAGAAACAGGATAGGATTGGGAGGAGGAATCCAAGTGATCCTTTGGAATCATGCATGTTCATTTGTGAAGGTGATCCTGTAGGCATTCTTAAAATGCCTTCACTATACCTCTGCATCTCCATTATCTTTTTTTTTTAAAGGTGCTAGTGGAGGAAATGAAAACAAAGTGTAAATGAAAGCAAAGTATATTTTGCCCCTTATCAATCAATTGGGAAACTTAGTCTAAGTTCTATAGATACTTGTTTTCTGACTTCTGGGGCAGGGCCTCTCAAAGTTTACTGTGAATTCAGATTCTGTGGGCTCACATTAAACTGTCAATACTGGTTCAGTATGTCTGAGACCTGAGATTCTGCATGTTTAAGAAGCTCCCAGGTGATGCTGGAACTGTTGGTCTGCAAATTCACTTTAAATTTAGCAAGGGTCTAGAAGACTATGCATCTTCAATGTATTGTGACTGGTCTTCACCACCGCCTGTTATGTGGGTATGTGTGTGTGAGAGAGAGAGAGCAAGAGAGATTGTAAATGTGTATATGAATGGGTTTGTGTGTATATTGAAGAACTGATTATTGAAAAGACAAAGGATACTTATTCAAAGCTTGCTATTGCAAAGGAGTTAGCAATGATCCCTTGCATTTTGAAAGAAATTCAAAGGCAGACAGAGGAGTAGGAAAGTTTTTTAGTGAAAAAAAGAAAGGTTTTGTGTTGGTTAGAAGTTGATGTTTTGAAAAGCTACAGATGCACTAACTTGGTGGGACAGCCTATATGATTAGTTAAGGGTGAACATTTGGCTTTTTCTAGTTAGTCCTAAATTAGACAGAAATTAAGAAAGCTGTCAGTTATTAATCAAGTCCTGGCTGTTTGGATACAGTTATTGGACGGCTTATTTGACTTCCTAGACTGTTTGCTAGAGATACTGGTCTGACTTCCTACAAGTCTGACTTGTAGATAGTGGGTTGGTTTCCTCAGCTGGTTATTGAATATACTGGGTTGGTTTCCTGGGATGGTTGCTGCAGATGTGAATGTAATTTGAGTGTTTATATGTGGGGTGGCCATATTTGTATTTTCAGTCTTTAGTACATATATATATTGCTTCATATATATGTTTATGGATTGTTTGCATATATTTTGTGTGCACATCTTTGTGTAAATGCATATTGAATATGTGAATGCATATTGAATGTGTGTGCATGAGTATATATGTCTATGTATTTGTGCTTTTTTGGCTGTATGCATGATTCTATTTTTAAATGTGTCTTCAGGAACAAGTTCACAAGGATAATGGAATTATGAAGACAAAGTTGAGGATGGGGGACTGAGAAGACAGCACATACTGACTTACTTATTCATAATAGAGACCTTGATTGAGTGAGGTCATTCTGAGAAGACAGTGGTTAAGAGCTCTCCTATGTGGGTCCAGAGATTAACACACTTTCTCCTATTAAGTATGTAAGCCAGATGTGACTTACAGTTGTATACAATTATCATACCTGAAATACACAGATAAGGTATAATGTATGGTCATTTACCTGGAAATGTATGTATACAAAGATTAACCATGGACAATATACATGGGCAAGAGAAGGTGCATTTGACAGAAAGACTGTATACTCCCACTTCTTTCCATCTCAGTGACTCAGAATATAATGGTCAGCATTCTCTCTCATTCTTCTAGAGTTATAGTAATGGGTTCAGGATATATGACAAGGAAGAAAAGTTTCTCAGCTCAAATGAAAAGAAGACATTTCCTGAAAATAGTGAAAATAGTTTAAAGTATGAAGAACCTATCATGTGGACCAAGGGTGAGATCCTTGGGAAGGGAGCCTACGGCACAGTAAGTTAAATGGGAAACATGATGAACCATGTTTCCTACTCTTCTCTACCTCCTTTCTCTTCTCTACCTCCTTTCTCTTCTCTAATCCTTTCCAACCTTTCCTGTCATAATCTTTAATGTAGAACTCATTCCATTGAAATAGGAAACCCAACCCAAAATGACTTGAAAAGGACATGTAACTCTTAGCCCTGGCCCTGTGGACAGTTATAGGGGTCACACAATGCTGTTGGACCTGGCTGGTCTTTAGCTCTCTTTCTCAGACTCTTTGTGGCAGTACAATGAAAATTGTACTTCTGGCCAAGTTCAGTGGCAAGAAGTCTCTTTACTCAGCAGTTCAGGATATTACACTACAAGTTGAAAGACAATAACAAAATATTCCTCACATTTTGTGAATTACATGAAAAACCATCTGAAGCCTTAACATTCTAGGCAATATTATTGACTGAAAAAGACTAATTTCCATATAAGACCTGTTTGAACTCTATTTGGGGACATTCAATGAAAAGGTGGGAAACCTAAAACCATTGAAATCAGATGACAGGGAGACTGCTAAATTGCCCCAAGACATATCTCCATCTCCTTAGAGCTTTGGCACTTGAAATAGCCTTATTTCATTTTTAGAAACTAGTTTTCTTAAACCATTGTCTCAGGTAGCCATCTACTCCACAGGTAGATACCTGTAAGGTAAGTATCATTATCCCAGTTTTTTTTTTTAAAGATTTATTTATTTATTCGCACAGAACTGGGGTACAGGCCAGAAATGTGGAGGGTGAGAAGATTCACCAGGGACAGAGTAGGGAGCAGAACAGGCAGATCTATGAAGTACACTGCTGAGGGGAGCAGCAGGTGGGTCAGGAGAGGTCTGCCATGCCATATGGATCCCACAGGGGCTCGGGGCAGGCGGGAATCAAACTCATGCGGAAGTGGCTTAAGTTTCTTAGTGTTCTGCTTTAACCCGCTGCGCCACCAGGGAGGGTCTATCCCAGTTTTTTAATGAGCAAAATTGAAGTAAAAAATATACAGCTTACTCCAACTTACATGGAATGGTAAAACCAGAATTCACATCAATCCAGGCCACTTAGCTCTAAGTCATATCCATTCACCATTCTGCTCATCCCCAATTTGGTACCCTTGAACCACTGAGTTTGTGTAAATATTTTGCTTTTAAATAGGTAGGTATGTATTAACTTAAAGATAAGTGTTTGGGAGGGGATGGGAAAGATAACTGTCACATGAATCATTTTGTGAACAAGGTTGGTAATTTATATTGAATAGTAAACAGTTGTTTTGCTTTAGGTATATTGCGGTCTTACTAGCCAAGGACAGCTCATAGCTGTCAAACAAGTGGCTTTGGATACCTCTGAAAAATTAGCCACTAAAAATGAATACCGGAAACTGCAGGAAGAAGTAGATTTGCTCAAAGCATTGAAGCATGTCAACATTGTGGCCTATTTGGGGACATGCTTAGAAGAGAACATTGTAAGCATTTTCATGGAGTTTGTTCCTGGAGGCTCAATATCTAGTATTATAAACCGTTTTGGGCCATTGCCTGAGATGGTATTCTGTAAATATACAAAGCAAATTCTGCAAGGTGTTGCTTATCTCCATGAGAACTGTGTGGTACATCGAGATATCAAAGGGAACAATGTCATGCTCATGCCAACTGGAATAATAAAGCTGATCGACTTTGGTTGTGCCAAGCGTTTGGCCTGGGCTGGCTTAAATGGCACCCACAGTGACATGCTTAAGTCCATGCATGGGACTCCATATTGGATGGCACCAGAAGTCATCAATGAATCTGGATATGGAAGGAAGTCAGACATCTGGAGCATTGGCTGCACTGTGTTTGAGATGGCCACAGGGAAGCCTCCCCTGGCTTCCATGGACAGGATGGCGGCCATGTTTTATATTGGAGCACACCGAGGGCTGATGCCTTCTTTACCAGAACACTTCTCAGAAGATGCAGCAGACTTTGTGCGTGTGTGTCTAACCAGGTAAGAGACTAAAAGCTGGAGGAGGAGAAATTCCTAGAGAGTTTGAGCAGTTGATATTTCCCCTGAATTTATGGCTTGCTAGAAGCTGTATTTCAGTTAAGAAATCAAGTATGGTGTGATTTTGTGCTGAAAGGAATTATAATTAGCCATACTGGGTGTCAGGATACAGGGGATAATGCTTCAAGACGAAAGAGCCTCAATTAAATATCTTACTGGGTCCAGACAATAGTTCCCCAAGTCAATGGGTGTACAAAATTTACTAAAGATTTTATTTACTAATGGAATGTCCTTCCACAAACCAGCCATGGTAATATAACATCACCTGTGCTTATGTTTCCCTCTTTTTTTTTTTTT